CTATTGACCTATCTGATTTTCCGGCTGAATAGTCTGGGTGGAATTGGGGGTTCTGTGTTTTCACCCATCCAGTTGTGGGATGTGTGTGAGCTGCCTGGAGACCCTGAAGGCGACGGTTGATCTGTCCGACTGTGAGAAATACCAAATCTATGCTGCAACTGATGCCTCCCACAGTGAAGAAAAGCGAAGAATGTATTCTGGCAAAATGAATCGTTGAAGATTAGGAGCATTGTATTGTAGTTTCTCGCAAAGGTAGACCTCCTAATCGGACGCAGCACACTCAGAAATTCGGTCCTTCACATTCTTCAAGGCAGAGAACATTCTATGCGTATGAGGTGGATCTTCATCGGAGTGTGAAACATGACTGTCCTGAGCAACCCGGGGCCCGTGCTTGTCCTAGCACAAGCCGCACAAGCTTCAACGCGTAGCCATACAGACTCAGCCTCTTTGGACAAAACATAGTTGGCCCCACTAGAGAATTACATTCAAACACAAAGTATGCTTATTGATATGACTCAAAAGCAGCCAAACTGCCTGCCCACATAGTTCACCCGTGGTTTTTGTTGCTCCAAGTCAGGTTGACAGAATAGATAATACGCTTCGAATCAAAGTTCTGATACTCTGTGCCTCCTCAAGACTCTCAGACATAAAGAGTGGAGAAGCACTGTGCCTATTCACAAAGGAGGCATCGACTTCGCCCACATGATTTTGCTGCGCTACTACTTTTTACATAAGTCTATTGTGTCGCCCAACATGACACATAGCGGCTGCCATGCCGAAATATGCTGAAGAGTCTGAATGCTAATTTGTTGGTCCAAGCAACTGTGATATGAAGAATCCGTAGCTGGGCTTCCTCCAGCTGACAGTGGTTGAGTGTGCTCAAGTGGCTGTGAAATAACTGTAGCCGCTGTAGCCATTTGTTCTGACGTCACATGGTCCTAAAGTGATGGGCGCCTCCACATTCACTTCGCTGACCAACAACTGCTTCAACAAGACAACAACCATTGACAACCCTTAACAAGACTACCCTTCATCAGCAAACGCCAACAGTGTAACAGTCGTCCTTCTCTTTCTCCAGAATACTCGATGGGTGTCGTCCCTGCAGCCACAGATCACTAGGAATCCATGCACATGTGCATAATTTACCATAATTTGGCATGTAACACGTGCAAAAAGCAAAAACATAGAAAACATAATATATTTGTGAATTCAGTGTTCAACAGCCTCAAAACATCTCAAAACATAAGGACCCAATTTGGAAGGTCTTCTCACTGTTGTCTGGGCACAGGCCTATGGCCACGACAGTCCACAAGAACCAACGGAGTCGAATTCAAGGAATGCCTCTAGGATTCCAGGACGCATGCCGTGTAGCCACCTGTCAATGATGTGTGATCCCGGATCCCTGGGCCTTTCTGGCTCGGTGGGGTGTCCAAACCACTTGCGACTCCCTGAGCAACGAGGACTGGAGCAATTCCTGTTGGTAAAATATGGTAGATGACACGACCCGTGGTAAATCGATGGAAATGGCCCAACTGCCGTGGTTTATATTTTTTTATATTAATAATATATCATCCAACCGCTGCGATGTGCGAAGCAGTGACACACTGAAGAAACCACAACTGTCGGGCCTTGTGCTGTAGCTGTGGCTCACCTGCAACAGGTAGGGTCTGGTGTTTGGATACCAAGCAGATCTTAGAACCAAGCAGAACAACCAAGTCAATCCAGGTCATGTTTCTCATTGTTTCTCAAAACATCTGAGATGCTATGGTTTTGTCCAGTTGGTGATTGAATGTAAATCAGAGGAATGCATCAGGCAAATCCTGTCTATAAATTCTCTATAAATACAGCAGTCCACAGGAGCATGCGCCGTTACTTGAACGCATTGGGAATTTTGGGCCAAGATCTCGAAAACATTCGAAAACTGTAGACATGTCGTTGTTCAATGCTTCTCATATTGAGCATGTCACCACAGTCATTGAGTGATTAAAGGATAATGTTGGTCTGCCCATAGCGTATGAATTATGTACTGAACTACACTACTTCGAGCCTCGAATATCTCGTGAGTTGAACAGCAAAGTCCTGATAGTAAAATCAAAATCCTTGGCTCTCGCTGCGGTATGCTGCGTTGGGTGGACACTATGATCTCACAGGCATGTCCAATGTGCAGCTATCAAATGAGATGCGACACCTGTAGGCCACCTCGAATTTGTATGTAAGCCAATGTAAGCCTGTCTCAGAGATGCACAAGCAACATGCAAAACATGCTCCCAAATCAAACCCTGTCGACTCTTTCGTTTGAACCCCTTCTGTCTACTGTACCTATTCTACCTGCGACTAAACGGCACGCGTAAGTCCATGCCCGTGCCGTGCTCTGCCCCGGTGCAGGGGGTTCTAGGGCTAAGCTTGAGCCAGGCTCTGCGGTGGCAAATCCCCAACCAACATGGTCACCAAATGTCACCACGCAGCTTTCCAGTGGAATCACGATACAATGGCTGCCATTGCTTTGTGGATTTTTTGAAGCAAGGCCATGCGGCAATGTTCTGGCTTCATCTTGAACATGTTGTTTTGCAGATTAATCTGGAGAGAAGGGTCTTTGGATACAGAGCTTTCAATGCTGCCAAAGCCATCCAAAGCCATCCAAAGCCTCGTTTTCAAGACATGCCAGGTCCACTAAAGTAGCTTCACCTTGGGTTGCATCGGAAAGAAGCGACGATGCGGTGCTTGAACATTTGACCATTCGCTGAGGGTGTCATGTCGATGTCTTCCAATATCTGGCATGCTCAACGCAGTTTGTTGGGCTATGTGTCGGAGTCGGAGTAACCGAGAATCTATCATTACGGTCGTCAAACATGCTTAATTCAAGCCATGAAAAACTGCTGCACCATGCAGTCTGCATTTGCAATCACCATGACCAGGGTCCAACCTGCACCATCCAATTTGTGCGCCAGTCCCCATGGCAGGGATGCAGTCTTGATTACATCTGCAGTTTTTGTTTTTGTTGTGCAAAAGGATACATGATGATACACGAACCAGAAAATCATAGAAAATCCATGGCCAAATCACACTTAGTAGGCTCCAAATTGGTTCAAGAGATAGCTGAAAGCCAGCATGGACAAATCAGACTGGGAATCCATATCTACAAAAAATACTTACTGTGCATACCTCTCCTTTCCTTAGCTACCTCCGTGAAGTACAAGTGAAATACAAGCGAAGTTCTAATCGGTTCTACCGGCGGCATCTGAGCAAATAAGGTCACAGGCATTCATGTGCAAGGTTGGCTGCTCAATAAGTGGTGGGTGTTCATCTTGATTCATCTGCGCTGGAAGCCTCATCCCAAACCCAGCAGAAACAAAGCCGAACGTAAACTTCCGGAAGCTGAGGTCTTTGCCCCAGTGGCACTGTATTGTACTTCGCTTATTCTTTTTACAGTCAAAGATTTTGAGTGATCTTGCAACATGGAACATGTTGTAACATACCCCATTCCGTCCATTCCGTCCATTCCGTCCATTCCGTCCATTCCGTCCATTCCGTCCATTCCGTCCATTCCGTCCATTCCGTCCATTCCGTCCATTCCACACTCTGCAAATGGCCCATCCAACATAGTACGACTGGTGACTGGTGGCCTCGTGCTCCTTGCGATTGTCTTCCTGCGGGAAAAGAGGTTGCGAAACTGGAAAAGCAATGGGGAAAAACATGGAAGTTGTAAAACAATTCAAAAACAATTCAACTGGTGAGGATCCAAGGCCCTATCCACGTCCTTTCAAAAAAAGAGTATGGACATGATGGAATTGTATGGAATGGATAGCTCACATGAGCCGAGCCATTCTACCGAACTGCTCGATTTCCTGAAGTAATGTCACCAGCTTCTCATGCCCGGAGCCAGAAAGGAATTGGCCTTCTGATTCGTCTGTGCTGCCACGGAAACCTGCAGCCACTTGATCGCATTCACTGCTGACGCTGGCTGACGCTAACAATGGAAGACTTTGTCCTCAAACTGTGGCAATAATCCTCACATGGGGCTACATTGCTGAGGACAACGGCGTGCCCCTTGCATCAAAGGTTTGAAGCAGTTTGAATTGGGGATAGCTCGTCATGGCTCGTCCTTGCCTTTGGCGGCGGTGGTGCTGCTGGTGCCGGCTGTGGAATGCAAAGAGGCAGCATCTGACAGTCCAAAACAAGCACAGCTGAGCACAGCTAAGCACAGCTTGAAGGCTTGAAACAACTTGGGAGGTCATCGCAAAAGACAGGCTGCTCAATAACAACGAGTTGAGTAACCTGTATGGAATCAATTGGCTGCTGCGTTTTCAGAATGAAAGGGCAGGCGACAGTATGTGGCAGTGCTAGTTGGTACCGATTTGTTCTGAATCTCAGGCCTTTGCTGGGTCTTCCAATTGTTCCGGTCGGATCCTTCTTAATAGGATCACTTGTCTTCTTCACTCAAGTACAAGAAGGTGCGTTTGCACTACTATACTAGTTTTGGGATGCCTATCGACAAGGACACCACATCGCCCATTCATCCGCTGCATTTCATTTGACCTGAAGTTCCTGCAGTCGCAGGCTATGACATGGAAGATTGACTTGGCCCTGCTGGACCCCTGATTGACAAATCCACAATGCGTTCCCAAAAAATGGTTCTTAACTTTTGACTTTGGTTGACTACTCCAGATGCGATTTATGCAGGATTTATGGATGAGTTATCAATTGTGAAAGATTGCGAGACACGACAGGTTTCATCAGGTTTCATCGCCTGCATGGGTGCGGAGCGCTGATCCGCCAGCGCTGCCACATAGGCAGCGCGCTCCTACAAGTTGTATCAATTTGTATCAATTTGCGGTGCCGGTGCCACACGTTGCAACCTCTGAAAATAAGAATAGGATTGATAGATATGGAAAGATATGGAATGGTAAAAGATATGGAATGATATAGATCTAGTGCAGTGTGCCTTAGAAGTCTTGTCCCAACTTGTCCTCTGCTCCCAAAATGTGACAAAATCTGACCTCTCAGTGGCTGATGAACAGCTGAGGGCGCACCTCGCTCTGCGACGTCATGGCTTTCAACGTCTCAGAGAAACGACCCTCCAACAACGCCTTGGGCAAGTTGCTGCAAGGCATCTTTTCAATGAAAACAATCGCGTTGACTGAACGGCTCTTGGCTTCTGGAGCACTGGGTGGATCTTCATCCCCCATTGTTTTTGAATGTTTTTGACATGTTTTGACCCATCTCAGAATCCAAATTCATAGTATAATCATGTATAATCAGTATAATTTCAGCATAATCATTTACAATGATTAGGAGAATCATCAGTGTCATGATCAGCTCTATCAGCGCACCTCAAGTCTCCCAAGGCGTTGATGCAGCGGATTGCTGTCGCTGTCGCTGTCGCGCGATGCCAGGCCTTGGGGGTGAAATCTCAAGTGTTACCTGCACTGCAGAATCCTTTGTTGCTGAGCCATTCACCAGCGGCTAGTCGTTCCTGCAGTCAGGGTTTTGGGGAGACCAGCTTCAGTGTTGCGGCTAGGGGATCAACAGTGTTGTTCTTCACATCAGGTTTCCGGGTTCCTCTTTATCATGTTATGGCCATGGCAAACACTTCAGAAAGTCACACCATCTCTAACTTTTGAAATACATCATCAACATTCATCAACCACAGGTGGAACAATTACATGGAATTATGGCTGTCCTCGCCTGCATCTCGTGTAGGCCCCGTTGTGCAGCTTCCGCCAGGGAGTGCTGAGCAGCCTCACTGTGCTGCTGCACCTGGGCTCGTTCTGCTTCAAATTGTCAACTTGTTGCAAGTCGAAAGCTCTATGGCTACAATAAACATCACTAAACACTTGCAAAAATTGGAGAGCCATTCCATTGAAGCTCTTTGTAAAGCATTTTTCGCGATTGGGACGCCCAACTGTCTGAATCAGATGATTGGTCTCTTCGCGCTGAGAATGAACCTGCTGGAGTCGGCAAAGATGACAGATCCATGTTCATGCCTTCTTCGCTTAGTTGTGGGAAACGCTAAACAGACACGGATAAAATTGATGCTTTCCCATACTTTCCCACTGACCGAACGCGCCTGCGCTTGCAAGGTGGCTTGTGCCTGGCATCTCAACGTATTGGCTGAGGATGGCTGAGGTATTTGAATGATCAAAAGTGGTGCCAAAGCTCCAAACCTACAACTCTGGCTCTGGCAGTGCAGCGCACAAACCAGCTGGGAATGTATATGTCGCCCATACAAAGATATGTCATATGCAGCATATGCAATTATGTAGTATCTGTCTGGAACGACTACAATCAGAACTCTATCCGCCTATCTGCCTTTCTATTAATCCGACCATCCATTTGATAGTTTTGGCGTCCAATTGACAACAAAGGATTGTGGTGGATTTCGCCTCTCGAGTTAATGACACTCATCTAGATGCGCTCTGTAAAAGCCATTTTGCTGCGTACAGCAACACGGTGGCTTTGTGGGAATTGGGACACAGCAAGTCAGCGCACCTGTGCTAGGGCTAGGGATTGCTCTTGCACCTCGCGCACACTATGCATTCCATGCTTTTTGGAACGACTACTGCGTCGTAGGATGGTGTTGCCGAACAGGAGGTTCATGGACGGCATTGGACCGCCAGAAAATGAACTCGCCATAACTTGCCAATTGTGAATAGCTTTGCCCTCACCTGTTTTGAACGTTCGCCTTAATTTGACAATGCACTTCAGGTTCTTCACACGACCAACATGGCCTTCTGCTGCAAGTCAGCCAGGTGCTTTACCTGAAGATGACGCCCATCAAAACATTTGCATGCATTTGGTAGCGCTTTTCTTCCTTGCCTTTCACATTGCCTATTGCCTTCCTTTGCGAACCACAATTGAATCATGCGACTTTTCCTTCATGTCTATATTGAATCATTGAACCACAATGTGTTTTTGTATGGTTTTATTGGTGGGTCATTTTTCCTCCCATGAGTCTTTGTCCTGTCCACCACTCACCGCACCTGCGCTTGTGCTTCGGCTTGGCTCGCTGCCAAAGCCTGGATTATCGATGATACGTGACCGGGCAGAACCAGATTGTGAAGTGCTGGAAATTGCTAGAAAAAACGGGGGACTCCATTGAAACATATTGAAACAGTTTTGTGGATCCACAAGATGTATAATCCTGGACCTTAGGGACCAAGTGCAGTGCATCCTTTTAAAATTCATCGGGCACCTTCTCTTTGGACTCCAACTGTTCCTGCTTCTTCTGCAATGTTTTGCGTAGTTGCTCCTACAAGCAGCTCATGACACTACCGGAGGGACCAAGAAATTCTTCGTAAAAGTTATCCAATGCAAACAGTGAGCCCAAACAATCCATCTGGGTAAACTTGCGAAAGAGGTGACTTTTGAAAGAAGTCAGGCACAGTATTTCTCACCCAGACGCCATCAAAGAGGGTGGCAGCAATAAAACAGAGTTTTGTCACACATGCACAGAGGAATCGTTTTATATCGTTTTATCATATGATCTGGGCTTGTGGGTTTCAGTCTTGCATCAAATCCAGAAACTAGAGTAACTAGAGTGGAACGCTTGTGAGAAAGAACATTTCAACAAATGGTGTGCCCTGATGCCCTGATGATGCCCTGTTGCTCTTGCTCAACTGAACCTAAAATAACCATAGATAACCTCAGTGCCAGTATCTTCGTACCTTGGATGGGACACAACTTTGATTCAGTTGGAACTGCCTCGGTGGCAACTGGCTCCTCTGCTTCGGTCACTGCTGGACCCAGACCATCATAAGGTGGTGGTGGACCCACCTGCGGCCCGACAGCTAAAGGGAACCAATGTGAACATTAATAGATGAAATATTATGAAATTCTATCTGAAAGCCACAGCGTGAAGGGGTCTAAATGCTGACTCCTAAGTGTTTGCAGTCCTTTCTATCGATGCTGCTAAATGTGGGATATGTTTCCGGGCATTGCAAGGATCATTGGGTAGTTTGGACCGTGTTTGTGTTGTCCCCGTGAGATAGGCACGTTTTTCCCCCTATATGCTCAATATATGCACGCATATGCTTGCGCATAGCATGCAAACATGCAATGCTTCATTTATCCAGAAAAACCATACCATGACACTTGAATCGAATCAAATGTGTGAGGAAGCTCGGTGTTTTTACACAAAAAGTGAAAACTGGTCTGGGTGTGCAATGGATGACATCTACTGTATAATATGTATAATGGTCTGAAACAGCCTCGTAAGGGGGCGGTATCCGGCCCAATCTGCGTCCATAGGTGTCCTGCTGTGGCGAGAATAAAGTGAACAGATAAGGGCAGGTGAAATTCGGCATCAGATTTTGACATACAAATATGGATAAAAAATGATAAACACATGACAACACCAGGGTAAAACCAGGGTCTTCTAAAGCTCTATCAGTTTTATAAGTTTTTGAGGGCCATGTCCTCGTCCAGTGGCATTGACCGCCGCGCCTGAGAAAACTTCAGCGGGACATGGGAAGACGGTCCAGTTGGGATCTGGAAAACCAGGTTCACAACATCCGTCCATCGATGTCCATCCTCCAAAATTCAGAAGGAAATTTCGGGACATTTTTTATGGCACCAGATGGGGATGTCATCCTGTCAAAATTCTCGGATTTCGTGACTTCGCCATCATGACAGTCGATTGTCATTGCATACGTATCCCCTTGGAGAAGATCTGCCTCGGACGTGAAGAGGGGAGCCAACTCGCTTCCGCCCACGACCTTCAGTCTAAGGATGGTTCAAGGCGAAATTGGCAACGAAAAGATTTCCACATCATTGCCTAATCCTGATGAAGTTTCGGGCTTGTGGCCAACTGCGTTCCAAACTATGTTGAGAAATTGCATGGGCACTTTAAACTTTAAACATTCCAAGACATTTATATAATTGTGGACAATTGAGTGTTTCGCTTGTGATCCAAAGCAGGGATTCAAGAACCAGAGGTACGTGCAACACTACCCCAAATGGTCAACCCGCAGGAGGCAGAATTAGAACCTGTCAGGAAACAAATGCGACAAAAGAAGGGATAGTTTACTATTATGAATAAATTACCTGGGAACAATACCTGATACAAATCCCTAAGTTGCGCATAGAAACATACGGAAACACATTCAATGATCTCCTGCACTTTCTATCATCTTGTTCTGGGATGTTCTGGGTAGGATTAAGCATACACGATTGCAAGATATGACATGCCCTGAAAATGTGGCCGCAGCAAGCAGTACAAACTTGTCAAAAGTAGACCTGAAAATGTCGAGATTCGATGTGCATCACCCAACAAAATCAGCGGCCAAATTCCGCCAGAAGTCACAAACAGCCTACAGGGCCTACAGTACCGCGTGTTTGTTACTTTTTTGTCATTCACATTCATTCACAACATTTCACAACTTTCCATGCTACGAGAGCACTTGACATGCAACGTTGCTACGGAGTATATCGCACCCGCCTCAGCTGGCTCCTGGTATGCAGTGGGTTTGCTCATTTCGTCGATGACATCAAGGATGAGCCTTTGGCGCGGTGCAGCTACGCTTTAGACATCTAAAGAATTGACATGACAATCATGACATCACCAACTGGTTTTGCTATGCACAGTTCTCGTGGAAGCCATGTTCAAGCATGCATTCAAGCATGCATATTCATCATATTCATACCATGTCATACCTATTTCATTCTCAACTTTGCCGATGATCTAACAACTCCTTGTCTAATTTGTATGCTCATGGTGAGAGTGAGGCAGTCGGTGCTTGATACCAGATATACCCAGCGTGCCCTGAGGATTTGACCCTCTGAGTGGGCGTTGCGTGGCCTGGAAGGCCTGGAAGTTGAAGTGTTCCTCCACCAAAATTTGGACAAAGAGAAGGTGAAAGTGGATCCGCGTCGAGCTTACCCTCAATGAAAACATATGAAAACTATGGAGACTCAAGAGCTCGCACAAAGAATGATGTAGATTGAAATAGTCCAGGATATTCCAGTATGAAATAGAACATATAGAACTGCCTTCCACCAGCTGTTGATATCTGACTAATTATATCTAATTATTAATGATAGGAACTCGGTAGCCATTTTGATCGCCATCTTCTTGGGGCCATGGGCCTGCCTTTGTTCGCGGGGACGCCGACTTCGAGGGCTCTGGGTGCCGTCGCGGAGAAGGCTCCTGGAATTGATATGGAATTGATTTTGATGTTCAGTCATTCATGATCACTTATGATGATTCATGTTATATATATTCAATTGTGTGATCAATTGGTGCACAATTTGATGATTGCTGACTTGACCGTTGGAAATTGATAGTCAAGTGATAGTCTGTAGGTGGCGTTCGACTTTGATTCAGTTCTCGGATGGCACATCTTCGAACACTTCGTGAATTCGTCCTCTGAAATCTCTCGCTGGGGCAAGTGACTCTCCCTGGCCTGGAAGACCTGGAAGACCTGGACTGGATCGTTGTGATGCTGTTCATATCATTTCATATCTGTATATATCAGTTGCTGTTCATAAACCCTGAATGCCAAGAACTGCCAACTGCCAAAACTTTTAAAACCGTACATCTTGCTACCTCACTGTTACATACAAGTACTGTTACCTCACTGTTTTTGTTGTTGCTGACTCATGATTGCCATCGTATGCCATCGTGTGGGACCGAAGTCACACTGTGACAGTCACACAGCAGAACAACAGGAAATGAAGAAAATATGAAACAGCCCTCTCCAACTACTAGAGTCTGAGTCTAACTCAATAATTACCTCAAACATCCTCAACCTATCCCTTGGCGCCTCTGCTGGTGTCGCTGTCACAGTTCGCGCTGGCAGGAAGAGTTGCAAGTCCAAGACTTCTAGCAGCTGCACCTGAAAAAAAAAGAGGCAAATCAAAAAACTGGCCGCGTATGTCCGAGTTGTGGGTTGCATATGGTTGCACATTATGGTGGCATGATGTCCCACTTTCCCCAGCATTTTCCAGCGGGTCATGCAGCCCATTGCGCCCATCCGCCTGTGGTCTCGGTATTGGCGGATCTTCCCGAAACGCTGCCTGAAATGCGTCAAAGATTAGGTGATAGTAGTGACAGTGATAGGAAATCGTGGCTCTGGCATGCTTTGGCAGTCACAAATCGTTGGACATTGCAAAATACATCAAAATATATCAAAATAGTACTCACCGATTGTGCAACTCATTTGCCTTTATGATCTTGGCATATCTTGGCCAGCAAACCGCTTGGATAGCAATGTGCCTCGTAGACGTCACTGAGAGCGGACTCACCATAGGTCTCAGGCCTGACGAATCTCGAGATATCTCAAGAACTGACTCACTCAGGGAACAGGACTCGAGAAATCTTTAAGAACTGCGACACTAGATGTCGTGAAGTCACAACCACCGCAAACTGCCATATTGATCCATCTTGATCCATATTATCATATTGCCTTATCTCATTTCAGTACCATGATCATGAAGTGCATGAGACATGAGGGGGCCTAGGAGATGTCAAACCCTGTGAGCACTCTGCGAAATATGTTCAGACACAGCCAATGTTGTTGGACCGAACTACCCATGGCAGCGGGTATTTACTTATGGAAACACTTGGATGTTGTAAACTTCGACGACATAACTGTCATAACTGACCTGATGGCACTTGCGGTGGCATTGCACTGAACGAAGCCTGGATAGGAGATCCTCCTGCACCGACACTGCGCGACTCACCAGTTCCGGTCCTGCTGCAGGTGGTGGCACCGGTGGCACCGATGGCACAGCCACCGGCATCGCCGTGGCCTGCCGCATGGAGGTGCGCTAAGGTGAAGCCATGAAGGAACGCGAAAATTCAAAGCGTGAAGTTCGCCGTCAAGTGTCCAACAAAAGATCGAAAAGGTGAAGAAACAGTCCAAAAATGTCCAAAAGATCCAAAAGGAAGTCAATTTGGTTGATCAATTTTGCGAGTTCAAAGTTGGTGTTTTACCGTAAATTGCAGGTGAATAGACCCTGAGATAAGAAGTGTAATTGGCAAGTCGATCTCTTTTTTCGCAACATCCCTTCTGCCCAGCTGCGGCCTCTATGGTTTTTTCCTCGTGGCTCAGCTCCACTTCCGTTCCGGCACCTAAGCTGAAGATTCAGTTAAAACGATGTCAAAATATGTCAAGTGCAACCAAAATGCTCTTTATTCAATGCTTTTTTCATACTTGTATGATCTTAGAATCTTGTACGGTACCTGGTGGGTATGGGTACTGTATAAACACAGACTTCCGCAGTTCTGGAAGTGTCGTTACGCAAGCGATCCGCCGAGTTTAGCTCTATGATTTCACTTTGCGTCGCAGCTGCTTCTCACTGGATAGATGTCCAAACCAACCAAGGAGACAGTTGCAAAGCCGTCTCTGTCTACTCTCCAGTTGATTGTTTCTTCTGGGCTCTCCAGCTCTCCTTGCTCGGCTTGGCAGCCTTGGCACCTTGGCGATATGTCCAGGTGTCAACAAGTACGTGAAGGGAGAGCAGAGTGACGCATGCGATCATGTTCTAAAGAAGAACATTTGTAGAGTGAAAGCATTATCATGAGGGAGGTTGCAGTCGATAACATCCTGAAAGCAGGGTCTTGGGATCCACTTGATCAGTGTTGTTCCTTTCAATAAGCTTGTCAAATCCAAATTCCAAACATCTGCACCACACGGTCCACCCCAGTCAGTTTTTCTTTCTAAGGGATGCGTCGATGTCCCGCCGACCCGCTCAGCTTTGAGAGCTCAAAACAAAGAGCACCGCATGGTCTTGCCTCTGCTCATCACCATCGAACACCCAGTTTTCCCTCATCATGTCTATTCATTTGTGGCATCTTCGTATGTGAATCACGTGGAAACAACATTTCCATGAATCAAATGATTTCTTGACAGATTCCAAGAATCCACTGTCTTGCCCTGTGGAACGTACCACAATTGCAGATGCTCTTACTTAATTGACGCTGCAAATAATTACATAAGCTGCACGAACAAGCAATGCCAAATCCACCTCACACCTCCTTCCAGGTTCTGGCTTTCCGTGTGTCCAAAACGACTAGTGGATCTACAGTGGTTGAAACAGTCTGTGAATAGCGCACGGTGCTCTTTCCTCACGTTTGGTCCATACCAAGAACCTCTCACCCACAAGAAGCTCTCACCCACTTCCCGTTTCTTTGTACTATATCCATCTATATCCCAGACAAAATCAGATCAATAAAAACAAGCACAACCTGGTAATATAACTTGACCACGATCTGACATGAAATCCGCAAAATCAAAAGTGACGATCATAATAGTCAATATTATTCAGACTTCTTAAATCCTTTAGGATGCCATTTTTGGAAAATATTTTTTTTTATGATTTATTTATGATTTGAATACGATTTCCATTTATGATTTTTTTATGGGTTCAAATTGTGGTTATGATTTTTTTATGGTTTGGATATGTTTTTTTAATGGTTTTGGATATGATTTTTTTATGATTTTTTAATGGTTTTTTAGTCCTCAGAATCTGGTTTTCAGCTAAAAACTCGAGAAATGTTCGATTTTTTTATGATTTTGCTAGAGTTTCCTTTTCCCCAAAGCCTTTTCAGCAGAAAATTTGATTTTGGAAGCAAAATCGTTTAAAAAATCGTAAAAAAATCGTAAAAAAATCGTAAATGCATCCAAGGTTCCCAGAATCTGGTTTTCAGCTAAAAACTCGAGAAATTTTCGTTTTTTTTATGATTTTGCTAGAGTTTCTCTAGGAAAATCGTAAAAAAATCGTAAAAAAAACGTAAAAAAATCGTAAATGCTTCCAAGGTCCCCAGAATTTGGTTTTCAGCTAAAAACTCGAGAAATTTTCGATTTTTTTACGATTATTTTACGATTTTCGTAGAATTCCTCTTCCCTGAAGTCTTTTCCACCAGAAAATTTGATTTTTACAGAGAAACTCTAGCAAAATCACAAAAAAATCGAAAATTTCTCGAGTTTTTAGCTGAAAACCAAATTCTGGGGACCTTGGATGCATTTACGATTTTTTTACGATTTTTTACGATTTTTTTACGATTGTTTTACGATGATTTTGCTTCCAAAATCATTTTTTCTGCTCTGAAAAGGCTTTGGGGAAAAGGAAACTCTAGCAAAATCATAAAAAAAAATCGAAAATTTCTCGAGTTTTTAGCTGAAAACCAGATTCTGGGGACCTTGGATGCATTTACGATTTTTTTACGATTTTTTTACGATTTTTTTACGATTTTCCTAGAGAAACTCTAGCAAAATCATAAAAAAAATCGAAAATTTCTCGAGTTTTTAGCTGAAAACCAGATTCTGGGGACCTTGGATGCATTTACGATTTTTTTACGATTTTCTTAGAGAAACTCTAGCAAAATCATAAAAAAATCGAAAATTTCTCGAGTTTTTAGCTGAAAACCAGATTCTGGGGACCTTGGATGCATTTACGATTTTTTTACGATTTTTTTACGATTTTGCTTCGATTTTGCTTCCAAAATCAAATTTTCTGCTGAAAAGGCTTTGGGGAAAAGGAAACTCTAGCAAAATCATAAAAAAAACGAAAATTTCTCGAGTTTTTAGCTGAAAACCAGATTCTGAGGACTAAAAAAATCACAAAAAAATCATAAAAAAATCATATCCAAACCATAAAAAAATCATAACCACAATTTGAACCCATAAAAAAATCATAAATGGAAATCGTATTCAAATCATAAATAAATCATAAAAAAAAATATTTTGAAACCCCTCCATCCTAGAGACTTAGGAACTCTGAACAATATTATAATAGTCAATGAGTATGTTCAACATGTTCAACAACCATTACCCGAAATGACTCAGGATGCCCCAAGGCATAACAGAGCCCCACGCTGGGCTGCTGCCGGGCATCTTCTGGCAGTTGGGCACCTTGGGCATCGCGGCACCAGGCGTCACTGGGAAGTCACTGGCTGCGGCTGAGGCTGGAGAGCACGAGGAGCCCTGGTAGCGGGCACTGCCTGGCCATGGAGCACTGGTGGACAATGGTCTGTCAGGATTTCGAAGGATCTGTATGGATCTGTATGGATCTGTAAGGATGAATATATGGTGGGTAGATTGTGGGTAGTGATAAAATATGATAAAATATCAGAACGCACCAGTTGGGGTGGCAAATACATGTAGACTCTGTAGACAATGATTTGGGATCTTTTGTTGCTGCACTTGACACGAAGATTCACTGCGTTCCTCGTCAACCTCCGCAGCAATAAGTGTCCGTCGCCAAGCTACGACATGGCAAGTGGGTCACATCAAAGAGCTTGGCACCATTGGCGAGTTCCTTAGGAAAATCAAGCTGCCATCGAACAGTGGCTTGGGGCGTGCATGATGAAAGTAGGTTTATGGCCTCATTGTGGCCTCATTCAACATCGACATAATCTTTAGCCAAGTTGCCCATCTTTGCTTGCCATCGTTGTCCTGGCAACCGCGCTCAACACAAGGAGCCTCTGTTTCGAGCCTAAAACGCAGAACCGCAGAAGCACCTTTCCAAAAGCACCTTTCTCAAACAAAGTCACTGATTCAATGGACAATTTTCGTCAAATTGCAGAGATAGTGAGATAGACACCTGCAAAACAAGCGCAAGTGTGCTGTCCTTTGGGAAAATTGTGAGGGTTGTTGTTACCTGCGAGCAAAATCAAAGCAGAACGGCTGACCACAGCAGGTTTAAATCAAAGTCGCAAGCTGCTAATTGGTGGATGACCCATCATTTTATATTGTTTAAACTTGGGGAGGACGACTTTCGTGATTTTGTGCTTGCAGGCTGGGCCTCTCGATCGCCTGTAACCTCATACTTGCCTCAGTCGGCTCCAAAGAAAAGTGAAAGGAATCGCATCCTCTGCTGAATATCAAATGAGTACAAAGACAATAAAATAATAGAGACACTTCATTGTAATACGCCTTGGAAGCCTGCAATTGAAGGGTGCATGCCACTACTCAAGCAAACCACACGTCGAACAGAGTCTGCACAATGTTTGCAAAGTTGGGATCTTAAAAATGAAGAGGGTGTGCAAAGGCGGAAAGTGAAACATTTTCAATGGACTCTGGACTGTGCTTGAAGACCGAGCGAACACAATCCGCCAATACAAAACCCAAGTTGCCTGGAGGCAATGGATCTGGTTTTTCCATGATCAAGCCATGCTCTTCTAGCCACCAGTCAGCCTGCAATAGGTCAAAATAATCAGCACGTTTCATGTGGCACATCATGAGGCGATATGAGGCGTCATCCACTGCCTTGTCAAAGCTCCAACCAGCTGGCGCTTGTCCAGTCTCTTCCAAACGCCTTGGATGACGGAAGGTCGTGAGAAATGGAAATCCCCAAGTCTGGTCGTCGTGGGAGACTCAACCCCGGGACAAAGGCCGGTGCTTGCTCTGATCCCTGGAAGCAACTGCAACAGAAAATCACAAGAGTATCATCCTCAATGAAATTCTTTGACTAAAGGTGACAACCTGTTTACCTCGCTTTGCCCTATCTTGATTGTTCTGCAGTATGAACCACAAATGCTCCCTGCTGAGCATCTATAAGAATACCAAGCGGCTGAAAATTGCTGAGCCGTACCTTGGGCTGCCAAGTTTGAGCGAACCCTCGAGGACAAACTAAGCAGTCACTGGTTGAAGTTGTTTCAAGATTCGCAAAGAAAATATGTGCAGTTTTATGCAGTTGTTAAGGGTGTGGTGATATCTAAAGTATGATCCTGACAGCCTTCCAATGCCTTTCACCTCTCCAAAAATCTGCTCCCGAGTCGCGCCGCGTGGACCAGGATCCTTGGTCCAAAGACCCCAGGTCTCAGCACCTGTGGACAGCGACACAGTCAGCTGCTGTGAGCATCTCTAGGACTTGGCAATGGGATGCAGATGCAATGGATTGAAGATGGATTCAAGATGGGCTCAAGATTCTGTGATCTTAGATCTCTCAGATCTCTATGATCTTTGTTCTTCAATGTCTGCGGCTTTCAAATCTTTCAATCTTTGGTCTCTGTCCTGCTTCTTGCATATTGAAAGATGATGGGTGGCACTGCATACCGTCAGCATGATCTAGCGTTGAATTGCCTTGCACTGACTTGACACATCCATACAAATCCCATCTTGGACTGCTGCACCTGTTGATACTTGTTGCACGTGAGTCAAAAAGCTGCAACATACACTCCTCACAAATCTCCTCACAAATCTCCTCACAGATCCTCATGTCTTGGGTCCTGGAGTCTACCAGCAGATCCAACTGGCACCATCTGGCAGCATCTGGCACCTGTTCCAGATGTCGCATTGGGATCGCCCTTGGCAGCAATGTACTGCCTCAGAGATCGAGATCTCACAGCGTGATTCGAAGGATTCAGCCGAGGGGATCCTGATTGCTTCACTGTTCCATCGGTATCAATCTGTCATTGCGAAGGTCCAAGAAAAACAACGGAAGCTTGGGCCTACTAGTACAAGCACTCCAGGGTTTTGCCAAGTTGCTTGGGCAAGCGAGAAAAAAGGTAAACAAACCAAACTCCTGCAAAGTTGAGCACGAACATGGAGGATGAAGTGACGAAGTGGTATCACTTTCCCCAATGTTGCAGCGATACATACAACCTAACACACCTAACAATTTGCATAATCATCATAATCAATCCAGAAAAAACAGTCTGACGATGTCTGATGTGGTGGTCCCCACCATTCCCCACCTGGCAAGAGAGGAAGAAAGTCAGTGGCCTGGCGATCGCAAAGTCACTAAGTGACAACGGACAGAATGCAGAGTGGTGGCGAGGCAGAATGGGAAATTGATGGAAATTGAGGCGAGATTTGTTGAATCCAACTTAATCCCAGTTAGATCCCAAAAATTGTCTGAAGTCCTGGCTTCAACATGTTTCAACACAGTTCACAAAACTAGGAAAATCAGATCATGCGTCAGTCTCCAAGTCTCAGGCACCAAAATGATCCATCAAATTGCCGAGACTTCATAAATTGGATGGATGAAAACTAGGTCCTCAAATCGGATGGATCAATTTTACAAAAACACCAAGTACAGTGCAGCAAGTATTAAATATATTTAAATATACCAGGAATTTTAAGCAATTTTAAATAGACCAAACTGATTCAACATCTGGGAGACTTGCTGAAATCTGACACACCTGCTGCAGGAGGCTGCGGCGTCCCATATTCTTCCCAGCATGGAGCGTCAGCTTGGAGCCGGAAACTGTGCGTCCGGAAGAACTCGACAGGATCTTTCTTGGAAGAACGCGACGGCGTTCTACGCTTGGCCTTGTGTGGATCCATAGGGCGTGGGATAGCAACGAATTAACAATGAGGCTTTTGCATGTAAAAAACCTCCAAAACTTAGACGGCCGTGGTTCTCAACAGGTTGGGCGCACCTCACAGGCCGTACCACAAAGGCTGCAGTTGTCGCAAGCAAAGCAACCAGGGCCACCGCCCACCGAGCAGCCGTCCGTGCCATGTTGGAGGATGCTAGGGGAGGGGAAAGGGGGGAAATGAGGGAACAAATGCGGTGCGAAGTAGGAATCTCGAGTCTGTTGCATTTGGCTCCAAGATGCTGATTGGAAGGAGGATGAGCAAAGGCACCGTTTCAATCACGCAGTGGCGTAAGTATGTCAGGTCTCATAAAGTCTGGACAATCTGAAGGTACACATCTCCCTGTTCTCAAGTACAAAACAAATGACTTGCCAAAAGGCTGGGATTCTTCTCATTTGTTTTCCTAGATCTCTAAGTGAATATCCAGGCAAATCAGACCCAGAGAGATTCCTTGTCTGTTCTTGTCATGCTCTCGTATTAGACATTGCGTGAAGCCCAGCTTCGAAACGGCATCCGGTTAGATCAATCCAGGAGTGGAAAACAAGCCACCAGCAGGCTGCCAGCAGGCTGCCAGGCACACAACAAGTGATCCTCTGGGCTCCGGCACCCAGCCGCAAACGTCGTCCCTGCGGGGTCTGCAGACCCCGGCGTGCGGCCGTCCGCACTGGGCGCGTGTGTATGGCCAAATGCGGCGGCCGCTTCGTGGATACCTGCACGGGAAAAACATGGGAAAACTGTACCAAATGGGGTTTGAACTTTGGAGATGTTCAAAATTTTCCAAATCGCTTCATTGGTTCACCCCTGCATCAGTTTTCTCAAGATTTCAGATTTCAAAAGATTTGCCGTCCGGCAATGCCCTGCACCTCTGTCACGTCTCGTGCCACCGGGGGTGGCTCCCGCGGCTCCCGCGGCTCCCGCGGCCACTCGGGCACCCGCCGTGGAGCTGCGCGCGGCTCCCGTGGCTCTGGGCGTGGGAGCCGCCCAGTGGCTGCAACGCGGGGGACGGCGACGGTGCGCTTGGCGCGCAAAGGCACGTCTGGAGCCTGGGAAATCTGGGAACACATTCTTCGAGATTGTTGCCCATTTTTTCAAGTGGAGATATCTCACCTCATTCCTTCTTCACTCAGATGTTGGTATCCACATGTGTCCACATCTGTCCAACACTGAAGCATGCTGAGCTGTAGGAACTGTACGGTCAGGGACGCAAGGGAAGATTTTCCAGGATCTTTTAGGCTGACTTTTGCTTTGGGACTGGGACCAAACCATCTTTCATACTTGGAGCTGCTGGTGGAGCATGCAGTCCAGCTGCCCATTGGATTTCTGCACTCAAAGGAGCAAGGCTGGACAGCTCTTCAGCCATACCACCTTGGCAGTTTCAAAGCCTCAAAACCGTCTGATAACCTTTCACAAATTGACCAGTCAAACAACCTTGACGCAGCAAAGCAGCCAAGTCAACCAACCCAGCCAACTCAACCAACATTCCAAGTTGTTGATGCTGTTTCAAGCTGAGTTGCGGTAGAAATCCGTCGATTCCTCCATAGCATCCTTCTCAACGACTGGCTCTTTTGTCAGCGTGAGCGGTTCCATGGCGACAGAGCTGAAACGGGTCCTCCCTCAATGATGCTTAATGAATTTTATTATAATGAATTTAATGACGACAATGCTGCCTGAAACCAATTCGTGCGATTTCTTTTGGGAAGGCGTCCCAAATGTGGCTGTCGGATGCTGTTGGTCAGCGCACACAAGCCTGTTTCCAGGACCCAATGAGCTCTATTATTGTGTTGAATTCATGCATTAGTTGAGCTTCTCCATTTGAA